TTATGCTTTGAGGATACTCATCTAACGCAGTAACAACAAAGTCCCTTTTCTTTTCTAAATAGAATATATGCTCACAAATAGCCAAGGATGTGTCTTAGGTTGTTTTAAGCTCACTAGTGTGCTAGTAGTGAAGGATGCAGACAGACTTTGCACTTTAATAACAAACAGTGATTTCATAACTCTGTCCCATGGCAAATCATTATAATAAACACTTCAAAAGAAGCCTCATCTCTTTTTTGCATAATGCAAGTATCAAACAGAATGACCTTTCCCATATTTGCACATTATTTTATTTTAGTAAGGATAATGAATTCCTTCTCTTCTCAGTTTGTTCTTTGTTTTTGTGAAAATTAATCATCTAGTATTCAGAGTATTTCTTTGTAAGTCAAATTTTAAAGTCTCTTTGCTATAACCAAAAGTATAAACAGAATTCTCAGATAATAATTATGGGTTTCCTAAGCTTCTGAACAGTATTTCAAGTAGGCCAGATAAGACATGCCTGCAACTAGAAAAAAAAAAAAAAAAACCTAATGTTTTATCCCTAGGACATTCTTGAAGGATAAAGTAGTTCTGTAAAAGTGTCGCAGGCTCTTTGGCATCATATCCACTTGTGCACAGCACCATGGGTTTTAGACTTCAGAGTGAGGTAAGTGTTTAAATAACTGATTTAATGAGGTTTGAAGTGTATTTGCAAGGTGTGTGTATGAATATGGTTTAGATGACAAATCTCCTAGCACTGAAAAGACCTGAATTTCAGTGTTGCCAATAGACTTATTGCCCACAGAGGGAACACTGGTTCAAATGCCTTAATTATTACCATTATTCCTATGTAATACTTTTAATAATTATTATTTATTCTTTCCTTCAGTAACTTCTTTTTGGTCTTTTTTGAGACAGGGTCTTGCTATGCAGTTCAAGCTGGTCTTGAGCTCACTTTGTAGCCCAGGCTGGCTTCAAACTTGCAGCGATCCTTCTGCCTCAGCCTCCCAAGTGTTGGAATTACCTTCAGTAATTTTTTAAGCACCTTCTATGTGCCAATCACTGTGTTATGTCATGGGGATCCAAGAAGGAATATAACTCTCCTAATGGAAATGTAAGGATGACTATCTCTCAATAAAATAAAACAATAAAATGTGTTCACTAACACACTAGCAAGTTGCTGATGTTTTAATTTTTTTTTTTTTTGCATAAAGGTAAATTCTGAGAAAAGTGACTCAACATGAAAAAAAGAACCAATTTCCTATCCAAAAACTTAAAATTTTTTTCTTGAATTTTTAGAATTGAGAAGGCAGTGTTTCTGTATACTTTTTATCCTAGTCCTATTAAAACTTCTATGCTCAATTAATATTTTGGTGGGAAAGTTTAATCCCCATGGCTCCATATGAGAAAAAGTAATTCCTAGAAATGTTCCTAAATGAAAACCTTATAGCCAGTCCTAAGAGACCGGAAGATAAAGGATAAAGAGGAAAAGAAAGGAAACTGGTGGTGATTTGAAGAAGCGATACAGAGGGGGATGCAGAAAGAGAATGAGAGAGCGTAGGAAGGATCACAAAAACAGGGTGTGAAGAGAAGAGTTATTAGAAAGTAAACAGAATCAAGTCATGTTTGTGGCATCAAGCTCATAGTTTATCACATCTCTTGTCACTACTAAGTTTTGAGAAAAAGTGTCTCAAATTTGTTCATGCTACATTATGCATAACTTAAATAAAATCTTTGCTTATCTATTCCTCCACATACAATTACTTCTAATTAATTTCCTTAAAAATTTAAATTATTGAGTACTTAGTAGTACTAAGTACTTATTGTACTACGTAGTGGTGTAATTATTGAGTACTTAGTAGATCAACATGCTGAATGTATTATGTATATTTGTTATTCATACTATGCAAAATTCCATGCGGTATATACTATTATCTTGCCAATTTATAAGGAAATCATAAAACATGGGACTTAACTTACCATGTTCCTTTTCATTTGCTCCTCTTTCTCCTGCCAAAAATGACGTTGGTGCCAGTGCCACAGTTTGCTGGGTGATTTGGGTAGGGTATTTATCTCAGGTTTTATTTTTATTTTTATTTTTATTTAATTTTTAAAATTTTTTAAAGGAGAATAAAAAATAAAAAAGAAACATGCAAACCATGCATACCAAAATAGTGCCATTGTGACTATTAAATAAATTAATTTGGGCTAGGGTTATTGCTCAATGATAGAGCCCTTATTTTGTAGGTAGAAGATTTATTCTGGATTCTGTAGGTAGATTTATTCTGGGTTCAATCTCCACAATAACTAATAATAATAAAAATATTCATATAAAATCATTTTACTTGCAGCTAAAACAAAGTAGTCACTGAGTAAATTAAAAGAATTATATAGGGGCTGGGGATTTAGCTCAGCGGCAAAGCACCTGCCTGGCAAGCGCAAGGTCGTGAGTTCGGTTCCCGGTACCGGAGAAAAACCAAAACCAAAAAAAAAAAAAAAAATTATATAATGGCTAATTAGACAGTGATGTCGAGCATCAAAATTGAAGGAGTTCCATTCATGGTTAACTGCCAATTATTTGATAATATTCCATGGTCAATACTGTTTCAAAAATGAAATACTAACTTTGCACATATGATTATAGATTTCTGCAAAAGCTGCTTTAACAGCATCTACAACATTCATCCAGGACAACATGTGTTTAATGTAACTCCATGAGCACATACACTACTGCTAATATGTGGCTTTACTGTATATGCCTCTACATTGCTGTGATTGCCACTTACACCCAGGGGCATCCAAGAGTAAGAAGTGACACACTAATGTTACAACTTCTGCTATAGTAGCACAGAGGTCAGTATGTGGTGTTTATCCACAATATATGAATAGTATGCTATATTATGTGTTATATATGTTCAAGATATGCATGTTCCAGAAGTCTATCATATACATATAAGGGATAAATAACATTTTGGAAACATGAACAAGGTTCTCCCATGGAAACTCCCTTGTTGCCTTCTGCTTAGCCCTGCCCTTCCCGCACACACTGCTTCCTCTGTTCCACTCACACCACAGGGCCATTCAGCACTCCTGGGACAGCAGAAAGCATAGTACAAAAGATACCACTAGACTTTGATTTGTAAAAGCTTAGTAGCCATTTTAGAGAAATGGAGAGAATATAAGGGTAAATATAATATGCAAGAGAGATAAGCTGGATACAAGAAGGATGTTCCAGAATTAGGAAAAATGAAGGAAAAATATAAGGGTTGTCGGACTAGAGCTGATAGGGCCAGGCAGAGGGGAACAAAACATGAATTTTGGTTTTGCTTTTTCTTTTTACCCAAGACTTGTGTTGAACAGACAGTAGGACAGCCTGCAGAATGAATGCCTGCACTCTTAAGGCAGCCTGCAAGTTCATACATGTATGGCCTCATCTGCAAGTTGCCAGAATTCAGCCATACCTTGAATGAATGGGAGCAGGATTAAAATGAGTGTATTTCTGTCATGTAAATAAAATGAAGGCTCAGCTTAAAAATTAAGCTTTTATAAAAATATATGATGTTATTTTCTTACACACCAGAGTCAATGGACTGAAGTTTCTATCTACTCATTATAGCTCTATGACTGCGTAATGTATATTTGTGTTACATATATAAGCATATACAATAAAGACATAAAGTTATGCATTTAATTTTCAGTAAATTCTACATAGCAAATACTGCATAACTTTCCCCTAGGAGTCCATAAATATCTCAAAGGGTGTTTTATTTATCTTTATAGTAGCAGGACGTGGCAAAGTTCCTGAAGTAGTCACTTAATGTGAGAGTGTAAGAAAATGACAGTAGGGGCTGGGGATTTAGCTCAGCGGCAAAGCGCCTGCTTGGCAAGCGCAAGGTCGTGAGTTCGGTTCCTGGTACCGGAGAAAAACCAAAAACCAAAAAAAATAAAATAAAATAGAAAATGACAGTATTAGGAAACTTGTTTGGAAGGGCATTAATTCAGAAGCTGGAAGGTAACTTGGGTAGTTTGGCTTGGAGGCTATTAAAACACCAGTAGAAAAAGCATGAGGTCATGAATCAGGTTGGTGATCCTGGAAACAGAAGGAAGGGCAAGAATGGATCACCAAGTGCAAATTGATAGTTTTCTCTTTTAGAACCAGAACCCTTGTGAGGTTGACCCTAGAATGATTTCTGTCCCTTAGCCAAGTACTTGAGGATATAAAGATTAGCTGTCAGTGATAATAAAGAGCTAGTTGAAACTGCCTTTTAGAAAGTACTGTGTAGTATTCAAGTAGTTCATCCATTTAAATTGACCATCTTTAAATATTCTGTCTAGTGAAAACACAGAACACTTCCATTAAGACTTTTCAAATACTCCTTGTATATTCAAAGCCACATCACTGATACTATTATAAACATTCATCATTAAAATAACAAGTCCAATTATTATCTATTATCAGTGAAACACTGTCTGAACAAATGCATGTAGGATATAGCTTGCCCTTTACAATTTTATGCATACTTGAAGTTTTAAAAATGTACTATATATATAGTACATTTCACTTCAAACTGGAATTTGAATAATTGCCAGTTCCACATTTACAGAAATAGGTTAGTAAGTACTATAATACCTGGAGTCTTTATTATCTTTGCACTTCAGTGAAACAGAATCTATCTTAGAGCAGCAATAAAAAGAAATTCATGTCTCCACAGGTAAATCAAGGTGAAAAGTAAAAATTTATCATTATAGTAAAAAGTAAAAATATATCACCATTTACACAATTCAGAGTATCTTGTAAATAAAATATATAAAACACATTTTGAGCTTTTGAATTTAGATGTTGAAAAAAACTATTACAAAATCCCTTAAGTACCTATTTATATAATCTATAAAATTTTATGGCATGGGCTGGGGATTTAGCTCAGCGGCAAAGTACCTGCCTGGCAAGTACAAAGTCATGAGTTCAATTCCTGTTACCAGAAGAAAAACAAAACAGAACAAAAAAAATTTGTGGCATCACATTTGTAATTATATTTTATGCTTTATTTTCTTACAGAGCACATCTTAGATGAAATCAGCAGAGAATAACAATTTTGGCCCTTGTTTTATGCTGTTGTTTCAAATTTCAGAGTTGATTTTTGTTTTCTTAATGTAAATTATGATGGAATCAGTATAACTGAGAACTCCTTCAGCGGACAGATTTGTATTACATAGTTTAAAACAATCACAATAGATATAACTGTATTATAATAAGGCAGAAATTTTAAATATTTTTGTATTTTTCATTAAAAATAAAAAGAAAACAATTGTGCATACCAAGTAGTATTAGTCACACATGCGACCGGAAGCATTCAAACTTATATACCATAAAATATAACTTTGGCATCATAAGAATGGTGCCTTAATAATTACTGAAATTAAATAATGAAAGCAAGCACAGTGCTATTTTAGAAGCCTGAAAAGCTCACTGGAGAGTGGGTTTGTGTTTAAAGACCAACAATGAACTGACGCTGACAAAGAAGAATAGCAATGAGAATGTATAATTGAATCATAAACAAATTTCAGGTTAAAGAGAAAGTAGCAAAGTGCTCCATGATTCTCACAGGTGCCGCCTCCCAGAAATACCGACTCCAAGTCTCAATGTGCCCTTAAGGTCATTCTGCCGCTGCTATTGCCCAAAGTACGTGGCTTCCCGTTTTCCCTGTATATCTCTCAAAAATTTTCCTTTAGTTATACTTAGTTCCTCATTCTTGACAAATTTTCAGATCATTTTGTGATTGAACTATGGACTTGTTTCTAGTCTGGAAAAGAATGCTTAGGAACAGGAGGGGAAGATAACACAAAAGATGGCCCCGTACACAGGAAATCTTGAAGAAAGTGTCACGTCCACTGCAGCCTCCTGTGAGGGCAATGGCCTGGATAAGTGATGTCCAGAAGTATGGGCCTCTTTGATTTCCTCCTTCAGTAAAAGTGACTGTATCTGTAAGCTTCTTTTATTTTCTGACCAACAGGGTATCTCTAAGTACTTCCTGTGGGGTGTGACTCAACCTGAAGTTATTAGGTAGCAGTTCTTTGCATGAATCATCCTCACTGTCCCATTTTCCTTCAGCTTCTTGGCTGTGCCCATTGACTTTATCAAGGTATAGGACGCTCACTGTGGCTACAAGATCTTTCCAGCAGGCATTCCTTGAACTGGACTGTGAAGTTCCAAGTCAATCAAACTCTCTGTAGTTCAGATCTGGAATGTTCCCCAAAGACTCGTTCCTCAAAGACTTGGTCCCCAGCTGATTTTGCGACTGGGACCTGTGTAGATTTCAAGGGGTGGGCTCAGAATGATAAATGATTGGGAGCACACTACAAAAGGGTACATTGTGCACCCGGATGCTCCCCCCCCCACTACTTTGCTTCCTGTACAACATGAGGTGAGCCATTTCTCCACCGCATTCCCATGACTCTCTGCTTCCCCTGAGGCTCAGAAGCAATGAAACCGAATTGAACAACCTATTTTCCTCCGTAATTTAACTGAGTCAGGCAGAGTGATTCTTATCACCGTAGTGCAAGCCTTGGAAAAGAAAAGGCTATGAAAAATATTATGAGCTAGTTCTGCGTAGTAAACAAGAATTTATTGTTGCAAGAACCTTTGACGGTAAGAGAGAACAAAAGTCACCAAAACCAGGGAATGCTAGAGCACCATACAAAAAAAAATAAATGCCTAACTCTGAGGAATAATGCGAGTTCCTCTGAACAAACACCCATCTTGTGTGTGACTCTCCAACCTTCAGAAGGCCTGGCTGGGAAGTAATCGCTGGTTTTCCCCGGGGAACCACTCTTTTCTCCTGTCTGTTCTTATAATAAGGCTCCATTATGTATCCCATTTCTTTTCAACCTAAAGGAATCAAAGGCAAAAGGGACCCTTAGGTCTCTAAGTAAAAGAAAGCAGAGGTTCAGCAAATTATATAAAAGTTTAATGTCAATATCTTTTTCTCCCCCTGCCAGCTCTGAGCTAAGATCCACTGGCTGACTGCTGGGCAAGGACACTGACTGGGCCCCCTGCGGTTCTGATGGCTGCTGCCCACACGCCCAAGATTACTTGCCCTTGGGTATGCAGAATGGAGGTTGAATAGATGCTGTTTTCTTAATAGTTGTCTCACTTTTACTACCAGCATGATGGATACATGATGTTATTTAGCTAAGTAATGACTCGCTTGCAATATTAATAAAGAGCAAGAAGATATTACTTAAATGCACTTAATTATTTTTTATTATTTTTCCTCTGAAAGAAGGTATAAATAGCCCAAGAATCCCTTTTCTTCTGTGGCCCATAAAGTACTCCTAATTATCACTGGAGAAAAAGGATCTCAGGTGGAATGTTCCCACTTCCACCATTTTTACTAGAACCACCTCACTGTCCATCAATCCAAACAGACAACTGAGGTTTATCCTTAAAGCACATTTGACGGGCAAAGTATCCACTACAAAAGGCACAGTTACTTCTAACCTTTTCGGAACTGAGCAACCTCTGGGTTTGAGTGAAGATTTTTGGAGTTATTTACTCAAGAATTCACATAATTTATCCACAGGACACAGGCTCAGCAAGAGGACACGAGTAGAATATGTGACACTGTAAGCTAGACCTTTGCTTAAGGTGGCTGCATATCTTGTGATATCCTTTAGATGTGCTTCCTACGCTGTCTCTGCGCCTCACTTACAAAAACTCTAAATTTTCCTCCCCTTTTTTTTCTTAGATTTTATTATGAATTTCTATTTTATTTTTTTGTTTGTTTGTGTTTTTGTTTTGTTTTGTTTCTGGTACTGGGAATCGAACTCACAACCTTGCACTTACCAGGCAGGTGCTGTGCCGCTGAGCTCAATCCCCAGCCCCCATGAATTTCTATTTTAAAAAACCTCAGATCCCAATTGCTATTGCCTTACAAATACTCAGTTTCAGATATTTTTTAAATTTCAGTGCATAATTTCTGCTGGCTCTGGAAATAGAACCAGATGTTCTTTTTTCAGTCTTTCTTTGATCTATAAGAGAAAGTGATGGAATGTAGACTAGTTTATAGGATAGGAAAGGAGAACCTGTGGGGCTGGTTTATTTGTATAGAGATTCAGCAATAATACATACCTTACCTCCCAAGGAATGATTTTGCTCTGTGTAACCTTTTTACATCCAAATGAGATATATTCTTCCTATTATAATTTTAGACAAATTTTCATGTTAGCATAACTTCAAGTTACTGAAAAATTACAGAGAGCACAATTCCACATACTGTACTCAGATCCCTTACTATCAATGTTTTCTATTAATATGGAACATTTCACAATGAACCAATCACAAATATAATATATTATTATAAGCTCATGCCCATGATTAACTCACATTTCCTTATTCCCTAATGTTCTTCTCTCCCCAGATTTCACCCATGATATCATATTACAGCTAACTGCCATGACTCCTTAGTATGCTGTTAGTTTTGACAATTTCTCAGACTTACTTTTCTCCCTCTTCCCTTCCTTCCTTCCTTCCTCCCTCTCATTCATCTTTCCTTCCTCCCTCCCTCCCAACCTCCTTCCCTTCCTTCCTTCCTTCCTTCCTTCCTTCCTTCCTTCCTTCCTTCTTTTCTCTCTCCTTCTTTCTCTCTCTCTGCCTCTGTCCCTCTCACTCTCCTTTCTTTCATTTTACAGTGATAGTTTTCGAGCATACTGTCAAGTATTTGGTAAAATGTCTCTCTGCAAGGATTTGCAGAAATTTCTACTGAAGGAAAGTTTAAGATTCCTTTCTGAAATTCAAATATTCCCAAAGGAGAGAACAAAAACTTCAAGAAATACGAATGATGAGTTCAAAAGGCATTGCATAAATGAATTTTCTTCTTTCTTATATTATCTCAGACAAAGGAAAAGTGGTACATTTGTTGTCTAAGAGCTGGCCTCAGTAGGTTGAAGAAATTGTATCCTTAGGTGGTGTTTAGGAAGAATAATTTCATGTCTATGGAAAAATTTACCTACAAATAAATCTAAACCACTTAAACTCAATATTAAAAAGACCCCACAGAAGTTTAGCATGATTCTGATGATGACTCAAGGAAAAACTTACCTTTTGATTCCCTTAGAAAATGTTGTTTATCATAAACTTACTGCCAGGAGACCATATAACATGATCCATGGGATAACTAATTCAAAGAGAAAAATGATACCAACATCAGTTTCCAACATATAAAATATGCACTATACTCTGAAGAGACTCCAAATGGAGCAGTTTAAGTAACAAAAGAGTCTGAAAAATTAAAGCCATACAAACTGTAGGTCCTGTATATTTAAATCATAAAGGCATATTCCAAAATTTCATACTAATATACTTCATTACAAGCATGGATTTTTTAAATACTTGATTTTTAATGAATTTTAAATAAATAGCATTTTACTCCTAAAATACAACACATTTATTAAAAAAGAATCAATAAAAAGCAAAAAGTAGCAGAAACCTAATTATTCAGATATAATAGCCAATATTTCACTTATTTTTTTATATAAATCTCCATTCTTACACACTAATATGTTATATAAGTTTAATAAAAGAGATATTCTTTAACGTGTTATAAGGCATAGGCTGCTTTAATGTTTATAACTATCAGTCAATGTATTTATGACAGTTTGATAAGATTCCCTTTGGTGAACATATTGTGACATATTTAGTCTTATACTGATGAGCATAAATGTTATTTCCTGTTTTTATAAGTATAAAATTCAGAACAAAACATCTAATATGTACTGCTTTGTGTGTTTGCATGATAGGCTTTACGATAAATTTTTAAAAGGAGGATGCTGTATCAAATTCATTCATATTAAATTTGAATGCATAATGCCAAACCAATCTGGATGTCAATGGCAATACTTAACCATAGTTTGATACACTGGAAATGTCTCAAGCTCAGGGCTTGCTATTGTCTTGGTTTATTCCCTATTCTCAGCATCAGAACTATGATTAACATGCAGTCAGGACACAATAAATACTAGTTACATAAATTAATATTGGATAAGTAAGACTTGAATAATTGGTATGCATGTACTTAGTTTTGTATTTTAAACTAATTATAACCTTTCTCAGACCACCTCTTCAAAGATAGCTACTGAGAAACATTGACCAGGAAAGAAGGACAGATATTCTATCTTTATACTATGCATGAATTATACAGCCATCTTGCTCGGTCATTTATTAGCCTGTATAACCTTGGACCAACTGGTGAATATTTTTGGGTCTCCAATTTTCTATCTGTAAGATAAGCATTTTTAAAAATCCTACTTTGTCTTCTTGTCTGGACCATTGTAGGATTTAAAGAACATAATGGGAGGTTAAAGCTGTTTGTACACAATAAAATGGTCTATAATCAAAGAGATTAACAACTAAAGACAGGTTTAATGTTCTAGAATTCATTACGCTCAACTCATCCTAACCTGAAAAGATTTCCACAAACATGCTAAAGCGCTAGGCTCAGAGACTACTCTCACCAGCCTCTGTCCACAGAGAACCCATCATAATGGCCCTGGCTTATGAGCCCTGGAAGTGGCATTTGTTTTCACTTTTCTCTGTCACACTTAGCTGAACAATACTTCCTATTGATTTGTGGCACCAAAGTCACTTCCTTTTTTTCAAGAATGACATTTGCCATTATCTCTCTGCAAGCACAGAAATCTGAGAGCAACACTATAAAAAAATAAAAACTTCACAATTTAAGTATTGATTAAAAGCCAACTTGGTTCATTAAAAACACTGCTGGGATTTGAGGCACTTAGAGGCAATCTTTTCTTTTACTCAGCATTAAAAAGTATAGAGATTTATGGATCTTCATAGGTCTAAGAAGGAGTTCCTTGTTATTTTAATGTGCTTTGAATTTAAAAAGAAAGATGTTATCTTAAAATCCAAATTTCTCCACATTCTATTTCCTACTTTTATAGAGAGAAAATAAAGGTTTTTAAAAACACCAATACTAATAGTTTCTCATTAATACTTGTGTAACACCTATTCTATTCTAATTATCATGTATGTAATGTATCCTATAACTTTGTCTCATCCTGGAATTTCTTGTTCCTTCTCCAAAAGGGACAAGGTCAGGGATGTGGTAGAAGAGAAGCTGAGCAGTCACTAGCTGCTGTCTTAGAGATCTTCCCAGAGAAGAAAAATATCTGTGATCCTGTCAAAAGGAAATATGTGTCTGGGTTTCAACCAGCTGCCTTGTGTTGCTCCCTCTAGCCAGCTGTCCTGAAAACTGGAGGGAAGTCATGGGATGACCCAGACCCTTTGCCCTCCAGAAGACCAAGCAAGTAACTCTGTGTAAGTAAAGGGGAATCCATGCTACCGTGAACTGAAAGGATTACTAAACCTGCTTAAAACTCTTTAAAATTTCCTCCTGGATTTATGCATTTGGGTTTCTAACATTTTAAAACTTTTTTGTACATCAGTGGTGTTAATCTTCACTATTAAGATATGCCCAGCAGATTTTAATTATTTATTTATTTATTGCTATATGGATGTATCAACTACACTATTATTATCCTGACTTTTTAATTTTAAACTAGCATTTGTTTTACTTAAAATGTATTTAAAAGGGGATTTTGAATCTATCAGACTTTATATATTTACACAGATTAAAAATAAAAATTCAACAAAATGATAAAGCTTATCAGAAAGCTACTTCTTGTTTAAAAATGACGATGGTAGGAAAATATAGAAAGAAATCAATAGTATTTACTATGCTTGATACTGGATGATCAGAAGACTTAAAATTGAAAATGGCATGATGTACACAATCACTGCTATGTGGCACCGTGTCTAGGTTCCACCTGAAAGACCCCTCCGCACACACGTGCACCCAGCGACACCCTCTAGGAAACACAGCAGTACTGTGTATTTCATGGTATATCTTATGAGATCTTTAGCCCTGATTCTGCTGGTCTATTTGAAATGATAATGCATGACAAGTACTGTACTGTAGAGGAAAAATACATAGCAAATTTTCTCATTTTCATCCAAATTTTTTATATTAAGTAGGTATTATATCTAGTGATGACTGAAAAACCATGAAAAAGATCTTTGGAATATAAAGCATTCTACATTTCTAACTCCAAATGAACTCCGCAGAAAGCCTGGAATACAGAAGCAATATGCACCAATTCTCAAACTTTCATTTGCATGTAAATCACCTACAAATATTGAAATTCAGGTTCGGATGATTAGGGCCTAAAATTTTCCATGTTCTCTAATCATGCAGATGCTCATTGAGTGGCCTGCAATTTACTATAAACAGGTTAAGGCGCAGGTTCTGGATTCAGGGACTAAATGTCCCTTGAATCCCAGTTTAACCACTTCCTAACTGTGTTTATATGGATAGTTATTTAATTTCTTAAAGTGCATTTCCTCATCTGCTAAGTGGTATAATAAAAAGCTAGAATATGTGTGTTGGGAGGACCAGAGGCTATTTTACTGGATTGCTGGGGAGAACAAATAAATGACTTAATATGTACAAAGCACATTGATGTATATCCAGCACTTATGAAACCTTAATAACAGAGAAAATTAGAGGGATAATCTTACATTTAGTACTATGGTATTTGTCTCTTCTTTAGTGACAGACAAAAGACCTAGGAGCTTTTAGCAGTTTCAAGGGTGAAGGAAGAAAGAAAAAATGTAGCTAGAACCAATCAAAAGAGAAAGAACATAAGGAAATCTCCAAATTTTCAATTAACATGTATGAAAGTCTCCATTAAAAAATTGATGTGGAGTTAGAAATAGAGTCTTAAAGCCAAGTATGCTGGCGCATGCCTGTACTCTCAGCACTCGGGAGACTGAGGCAGGAGGATCTTGCAAGTTCCAGACCAGCCTAGGCTACAAAGTGAGCTCAAGTTTAGCCTGAACTGCATAGTGAGACCCTGTCTCAAAAAAGATAAGAAAAACAAACAAAACAAAACAAAACAAAAAAATGAAAGAAAGAAATAGAGTCTCGACTATGACAGACCTAACCTTAAATATAATGTAAGGTTGGCATAAATGATCTTCACATATTTTAACTTCTGCCAGAGCCAAGGTACAATCCTCACTGAACATAACATCTTCAAGAGCCTCAAATTGTGTCAGACATTCTATACATATTATTTAGCATTCAATCAAAAATTACCCCACACACCAGTAGAAAGACCAAATGCCCACAATCAGGAGGAAAAAAAGAAACATATAAAAGATTATAATATTAGAAATATCAAGTATGAAGAGTGAAATAGCTATGATTAGCATACTGAGATAGAAGTGGATTTCAGAAAATGGAAAGATATTCCTTGCTCATGGAGAGGAAGAACCAACATTGTGAAAATGGCCATATTTCCAAAAGAGTTATACAGATTTAATTCAATCCAGATCAAAATGCCATTACCATACCTTACATATCTAGAGAAAATATTTCTCAAATTCATTTGGAAATAGAAGAGACCTAAAATAGCAAAGGCAATCCTGGGCAACAAAGGTAGGACAGGAAGCATCACAATCCCTGACTTGAACTTTTTCTACAGAATGACTGTGATAAAATCAGCATGGTATTGGCAGGAAAAAAAAAAAAAAAGACCTGAGGTTCAGTGGAACAAATTTAAAGATGCAGACACAAATACAAACACACTCAGCCACTTATCTTTGACAAAGGGGCCAAACATGTTCACTGGAAGAAATAGTCTCTTTAATAAATGGTGCTGGAAAAACTGGCTTTCCACATGCTAAAGGCTAAAACTAGACTGATGTCTATCACCATGCATTAAACTAAATTAAAAATGGATCAAAGATCTAAATATTGAAATAGAAACACTACATTTACTGGAGGAGGAAATAGGCAGAAATCTTAAAGACATACATATAGGCAGAGACTTCATGAACAAAACCAAGACTGCATGGGAAAATAGTATAAAGCATCAACAAATGGGATCTCACTTTATTAGAAACCTTTTGCATGATAAAAGAAATGATCAACAGAGTGAAAAGAAAACCCACAGAGTAGAAAAAATTATAGACAATTGTCCCACAAATAAAGGATTTACATCTAGAACATACAAAGAATTGTAAAAAAGCAGACCCTTAATTTCAAAGAGCCAATCCAAAAGTGGGCATCTGAGATGAGCACACACTTCTCAGACG